ATGATTTTAGCCTTTTCCATTTTGGAATTATCCTCATGTCACACTAGACTCTAGTTTCTTTGGCAATCTTATCCGATTAGCAACTTCTTGATTACATCATCCAATTCTTAATCCTTGATTTGTCTGATTCACAGGTGGACATGACCGCGTTGAAGCAGATGGGAGATAAGGATCTTAAAGACATGGGTCTACCAATGGTACTGTCACTGAACTCTTTTTTACCCCTAATCAATCTCCAAAATATTATTATGTCTGTATATCTCAATGCTATACATGTCTTATTTGCATCTGCTGAGTAGCTCTAACACTTATTATATTTTTACCCGTCTCTTTCTAAATGATACATCATAAGATTATCTGATTGTAAAGCAACTTCAATGAGGATAGACAGAGAAAATATAGGAAAAGAGAAAAGAAACATATCATCCGAAAACATGTACTTGTCAAAGAACCATTTGATGATGGCAAATTGAAATTAGTTAATAGCAGCTCCTTATGAAGCTGTAAGATGAGAGAGCATAATGCATACCATTTGGGATAAATTTTGCTTGAGACATTCTAGCCCCAGTTTTGGGCCTTATGTTGCTATTCTGTTTCTTGTGTTTGATATCTGTGTATGTCTTTCTTGATTATGCTAAATTAAATTAAGGGCAGTATCATATTAGCATGAAAAAGACTGTTTACACCGACATTAGTTCTCATTCTCAATCTTCAAATTTTCTCTCTTATAGAGGCTTTTTGATTTACAGGGTCCAAGAAAGAAAATTTTGCGAGCTCTCACGCCACCAAATCATTTTGTATGTATGGTTGACAATGCAAGAATGGTCTAAGAGAACTGGATTTGAAGAAATGTGACTTTGTATCAATTAGAAAATAGGCTTTATTGATCCATATGTTGATTTGGTGATAAAATGATTGGTTTAACTCGTATGTAATTTTCCTAGTTCTTGGTTCTGTAGTATAAGAATTTGCAATTAGTGTTTGGCAAGCAGAACTAAATGCATTAACATGTCATTGTAAAATTCAATTTGAGGAATTATATAGAGCTCGTGATTTCTTGAAAAATCTTGCACACTCTTGTAATCTTAAGAGACCTTGACAGATGGAGTGGTTGGAGTAGATGTTGTTCCGCCACCGCCGCTCTTTGCACAATCTTTGCCATTCCTTGAAGCCAAAGCAACCAGAAACCTCTCGTTCCATCTCCCCTTAATGGGACCTGCTGCTGCCGCTACGGCAGGAACAGCCTGCCTGCAGCCGTGATCAGCTGGAAACCGGTGCTTGAGACACACCTTCACTTGGCAGGTCTTGCAGGTACTCGTGTTGGAAAACGTCAACGTCTCCCTGCACCGTCTCACCGGACACATCGGTTTCTTCTTCTTCTTCGGATTACAATCTCCGGACTTCTCATGTCTCTCCAATATCTTCTTCTCATCTTCCTCCTCCCGTCCGGTAACCTCTATCGACACGGAACAGATTTCGCAAACGATTACTCTCCGGCTCTTATTATCGTCCGAGTTAGGGCACTTGTGAGATTTATACGATCTATGCTCCAAACAGAACACCTGTAATATAATTCGATTTTTAAAGATCAATGGTCTAAGAAAACAAAGAAAAAAAATCAAGAAAATTGGGAAAATTCTGAGAAACGAAGATACCTTGCGACAGCCATCACATTTAAACGGGAGAAAATCGAGTTGGCGGCAATCGGAATGCTGGCAGTGAGATCCAAGATCGGGAAAAGCTTCTGTACCTCCGGCCATGGTGATAGAGGATTAAATTTTCCTTTGCAGCAAGACTTAAGGATTTCAATTTTTTGAGGCAAACGGTGGTGAAGACTTGCATATATAGTTTTGGAATTGGCTTGATGGCTAAGTCAAGGCCACCGATACCGTGGAATTCCGCGTGAGTTCGGTTATGATGTATTTTGGGCTCGAGCTTGCGTTATTGCTTATCGAATATTTTCTAGGCCCACCTGAGGTCGGTTAACGGGAATTTCCCAGTTATATCCAAAGATTCCAAACAGGTCATATAACGTAAACATGAAATGTGCCTGAAATCCACGCTACAGATGCAATTGTACACGCTGCATCGCCACTTGGTGGAGCTGTGTTTAAATTTAATCAACCTTTTTTTCCATTTTCCTTCCTCCTTAGTTATCTTAAGGTTAGTTTGAAAGTGTTGTTATGTAATTGTAGGTGTTAATTTTTTTTATTTATTTAATATCTTAAATATATATTATATATATTTAATATTTATTTTAATTAATATTTTATATATTAAAAAAAATTAAAGACTAAATCATCAAAAAGCATTTTTAAATGAAACCTTAGTTGCAACAAACTACTTATGTTTAAAAATAAAAATGAAAAAAAAAAAAAACAATGAAATGTGTCTATTTTCTATTTTTAATTAAAACCCAAAAATGGAAAGGTCAAATTAGATAATTGAGATAACAAGTTTGTTGATTATTTCAAGGATTTGGATTTGGTACTTAATTTATCTTTTATTTAATTATTAGAATAAGGTTTTATCCTAATTAAGGTAAAATATGGGCTCCTTTATCTCAAAATCCTTTTCTCAAGTGTAATTAATGATTTTATATAAATATATTTTTTAAAAATTATAGAACAAACCTAAAGGAATTAGTTTTACGTACCCTACATTTTGATGGATTAATTGGCAAATAGATTTAATCATCACCTTTGTCGAGACATTTGATTCTTTAGATTTTGTTTGATTTAAAAAAAATAAAATAAAAATGAGAGATAAGAGGAAGAATATTTTTACTTAACTAAGTTATGATATTAGATCAATATTATAATTTAATTAGATGAACAATTTTCCCCATCCATTTTCATAAAATCGAACGTGCTCTTAAAAGTAACAAATGAGGAGGTAATCCTAGTAAAGAAATGTACTTTATATAACAAACATGAAAATTAAGGCCATAAAATACCCCACGATTCCTAAAAAAAACAAAGTTTTTACTTTTCTTTTTGCCTTCTACTTTTTGTAGGAAATCGTGGCGAAACAAGAGTCTCCTATTGTGAAAAAGAAGAAAGCTACTGCTTTGACTAAATCAAGAATCAACATGAGTTGGTGAGAGTCCCCCTTGATTTTCTGGGGGCATGGTGGGGGAGCTTTACAAGTTACTACCACATATCTTAGCCCTGAGTCGGACATATCTGCCAAACCATTGTTTCTTTTTCATTTTTGCCGCCAACTCGCCAAGAGTCAGATCTATAGTTTATTTCTTGTTCAATACATATAAAATAACACTATAAATATAGACTCAGGCAATTTTCCTTTACGTTCATAACAAAAAAATATATATATATATGAGGTAATTTTCTTTTACATTGATGATCTGGCTATATAACACTTCAAGATAAAAGATTTAAAAAAAAAGGCGAAATACCAGGAAGTATTCAGGAAGGGGGAAGGGAATCAAACACTTTGAAAAAGAAAGAGAAATATTAGAAATGGCACAGCCTATAACAATTCAAAAGTCAAAAATCACTATTTTCGGTGCAGCCAAATTGCAAAAACTTAGCAATTAAGCATGCAATATTGTGTACAGGGTGGCACTGTTGGTGAATCCCATGCCCATGCGAAAGCAAAAGGTGTATGGGCCATTTCCTCCTGAGAAAATAACATTTTCAGGGGATAAAGAACCCCACTTTTTCCTTTTAACTTTTGGAATTAACAGGGACTAAAGTGGCATTTGGGTTGTCTGCACAAATAGACAATATTCTTTGGCAAGCAGGTAGCACTACAGATCACACCCACATAAACAAACAATTAAGCATAAGGCTGTTTTGATCAAGGAATAGTAACATGTTCAGGCCATTTTTCAGCAGAGAAAGCTGGTTGATACTCTCTGCTTCAACAGCCATCAATAATTGCCATAACAGAGTAGATCACAAGGCAAATTCATTGGTTTACAAAAAGAAAAAGCAGTATATAACGTAACAATCTAGTCGGACAAGTACTCGAATTCAAGATTAATCTGATCATTTACCGAGCAATCAAATTTTTTGAAAAGTTTGAAGTTTAAATTCAAGTACTCAAAATGGGGTGGATCAATTTATGACACTGAAAAACAAACTCTGTTGTAAGATAAGATAGAATAAATTATTTTTATGTATGGTAAAAGTAAATAATTTTTATGTTTTTTAAGTTTAGATTTTATGGTATAATATTGAAATTATTAAATTATTATTAACAAATAATTATAAATAATAATTTTATTAAAAATTTTCAAGATCCGTCCACAATTAAATAATTTAAAAAGAATGGCTCGCTCCGACCAAATGGCATCAGACCTTGGTTAGGCTATTCACCTTCGTGAGTTGCACATTCGATTCCACGGAATTCCTTTCCCTCTTCTCTTAATTAACCCGATAAATAATAACAAATTATTCAAAAAAAAAAAAAAAACTTAAAAAACATTAAAAAAAGGGGGTAAATCTAAAGCTTAATATTTCATTCTATTAATTTTTTTTCTTGAGCAACATTTCGTCTCTTTCGTTATGCTAAACCTTCGGAAAGGAAGAAAAGGAAAAAGAATCTAAATTCCAGCAGGAAAAGTGGAAAACCCAGTCTCCTGATCATATTCGTTTCATCGTCATCCTAATTCCCCCACAGACTTGGTCTACAGCATAAACCTAATCCTCCACGTTCTTCCATGATTCTGTCTTCCTCCGTCTAGATAGCCGGAAAATGGAGATTCTTTGGTCTTTCTTCGCCAAATATCCTGGAAATTCCACCGCATTGGCCTCACCAGTTACATGACTTTCTTTTCAACGTACTTTTATGGATGCTAGAACCGTCTTTTACATTTGAGATAGGCAGAGTTTTGTACCAAAGAAGAAAGTGAGAAAAATGGAGTTCCAGGAGGCTGTGATGAAGTTGGTGGTCGACGAGACGGTGCGGGGGAACACCATTTCTCGGGGTGGTAGAGAGAAAGACAAAGGCTCCGTCAGTAGCAGGCGTAAATGGAGGATCTCCTTCTACAGGTCATCGTCTAATGGATCGAAGCCCCAACAGAAGCAGACCCCAGAGGAATTTTGTTGTCCCATTTTTGGGTCTTTAATGGCTGATCCGGTCATTGTCTCTTCCGGTCACACCTACGAGCGAGCCTGCGTTCAAGCCTGCAAAACCCTAGGGTTTATACCGAGTCTGGCGAATGGTACTACTCCTGATTTCTCCACTGTCATCCCCAATCTCGCGCTGAAATCCACCATTCTCAACTGGTGCCACAGGAACTCTGTAAACCCCCCAAAACCCCTTGACGTCTCTTCTGCAGAGAATCTTGTCTATACATTAATGGCGTCTGAGAACAAACTGCCAAAAGAAGGCCAAAGGGTATCGTGTTCAGAGAAAGAGTTGATTCGGGGGATGAAAGAGAGCCCTTCATTCAGATTTAACCACGCAGTCACCGAGTTGTCTCGGCGCCCCACTCACTTCCATTCTCAATCGAATGAATCCGTGACTGCCACATTTTTATCACCGCCTCTGCAACTCGCAACTCGGCCGAGTTGCTATTCCTCTGCTTCCTCCTCCTCGGAAATAGAAACCTTAAACCCTAACCTCAACCCCAGCGAAGAAGAAGAATTAGTCACAAAAATGAGAAGCCCCCAAGTGTTTGAAGTCGAGGAAGCTGTGATTTCACTTAGAAAAATCACGAGAAACAGTGAGGACAGTAGAGCCAATCTCTGCACACCCGGGTTGCTTTCGGCTCTCCGACATCTAATCATTTCTCGGTACACCAACATTCAGGTGAACGCAGTCGCGGCCATAGTGAACTTATCTCTGGAGAAAGTTAACAAAGTAAAGATCGTTCGGTCAGGAATGGTTCCTCCGTTGATCGACGTGTTAAAGGGAGGATCCCCGGAGGCCCAGGAGCACGCTGCCGGCGTGCTCTTCAGCTTGGCTCTCGACGACAGTAACAAGATGGCGATTGGGGTTCTGGGCGCATTGCCGCCTCTGATGCACATGATAAGAACGGGGAATGAGCGGACTCGGCATGACTCGGCCTTGGCTCTTTACCACCTATCGCTCGTTCAAAGCAACCGGACCAAGCTGATAAAACTCGGCTCGGTTCCGGTTCTATTATCCATGATCAAGTCGGGTCAGATGGTGGGTCGGGTGCTACTGATACTGTGTAACTTGGCTTCTTGTGAGGCGGGGCGGACCGCGGTGTTGGATTCGGGTGGGGTGGAGTGTTTAGTGGGTGTGTTGAGTGGCACTGAGTTAAATGGATCAACTCAGGAGAGTTGCGTGGCGGTTTTGTATGGATTGAGTTGTGGAGGTTTAAGGTTTAAGGGGCTGGCCAAGGCGGCAGGCGCAGCGGAAGTGCTGTGTAAGGTGGAGCAACAAGGGAGTGAGCGGGCGAGGGCGAAAGCAGGGAAGATATTGGAGATGATGAAAGCGAGGATTGAAAAAGAGGAGGAAGTAGATTGGGAGGAGTTGCTGGACTCGGGGTTGATTAGTCGAACTCGGTTTCGACTCGGCTGCGGGAAGGACGGGTTAGGTGTGAACTCAACCGAGTTTTGAGCAGAGTCCTTTTGGGATTTTTTATATTTTTTTGTAGTTTTTTTTCTTTTTCTGATTCTTGTTTGTAATTATTGGAGTTTCTTTAGAATTATTCTTGTTTTTTTTTTTTTCCCCCCTTGCCTTTGGTGACTTTACCCATTTATCAAATGGTTTTAAGATTTAAATCTTGGAATAAGATTCTTCGTAAAAGCAATACTAGTTTTTTCTTGACCCCAAAAAGAAATTAACGGAGGATTGGAAAAATAGAAGTTTGTTGGACTTGAACTTGCGAAGTCTTACCTAGTACAACTACTGCTTAGTGGCTTGGTGCTTACTTACTGGATCTTGCTAGTTTTTGGGTTGACGCTAAGGCCCTCAATGGAATACTGGTTTTGGTCTAGGATCCATAAGGCCCAGAAAGATTTTTCTTGGCCCAGCAAGTTTAGGACATAGCAGATTAGCAATCTTCCTCTGAGCTCTGTGCTGTCATGTCCAAACAAGCATTTTGGCAAAAGGCTATGCCAAACCTACTATTTATACGTATGTATGTATGTATACATATATATATTATGATTAATACTTTTACGAATTTTTGTTTTTAATCAATAATTCTTATAATTTAAAACTCAAAAACTTAAAAATTAACAATTAGACTTCTTCTTTATATCTTGACTTTATTAGTAATTTAAAATGTTTTATGATAGTTTTAATAAAAAATGAAAATTATGAAAGATGTTGAAAAATATATATATATATATACAAAGTATAAATAAAGACTTTGATCAAAATTTTTACCAAAAAATGAAAAAAAAAAGTATTTTGACATATATAGCAGATCAACATGAGGAAAAAAAAGGGTGAATAATAAAAAGAACATAGAGACAGATCCTAACAAGGGAAAAAAAAAAAAAGGGCGGAGGGGGGGGGGTGTGAAAGTCAAACAGCTTAGAGGAAGAAATTAGGTCCTAAGTTCCTACTATCATGGCTGTTTTCCTGTAAGTTGTCAACGTAAGTACTGGATGAGATTTAGTAGCTCTGACCCGATGAAAAAACCTCTCAAACCCCCATCCCCTCCCCCCCAAAAACTCCGACCTCCCAAGCTCATTGGAGAATGGCTTGCCACGACCCCTGTTACTGCCCCCTGTTTCAACACCATCCACCATCACTCATGTTTCCCCTACAACTACCTTCTCCTCCTCTAATTACCTTGACAAACTCTTAGGCTCCAATTCAGAGACCTATGAATCTTGTTTCTTTTCACATCCAGATGAGACTTCTGCGAGGCCTATTGAGCAAAACAGCAATGGTATTTCCGTCGTCTGTTTAGCCGCAGAGGAGAAGGCTGAGTTTAGAGCTCTTTTCAAGGAGGCTATCATTGTGAAAGGTTATGGGAAAACTGCTGGCTACCGTTTCCTTATTGAGAGAGTTAAAAATCTTTGGAAACCTGCTGGTCAACTCAAATGCATTGATCTTGGCCATGACTTCTTCATCATCAAACTCTCTCTTTTGGAAGATTTGGCTTTCGTTCTCAAGGAAGGGCCGTGGTTTATACGGTGAACGGACAGGAAAGTTGTTCAGGCACATTGCTTAACTCCTTGTAATTCATAATCAACCAACCCCCATTTTCTCATCACAATGCGTCTATTTGCTTGTCCTTGAGTGCAACAGTTTTAAGGTGGTTGTTGTTAGCTACCTTGAATAATTGAGTTCGGTGGCACGTTGATAAGGCATCATGGTGGTATAAAATATGCTGCCTCATTAGCATTTCAAAGACAAGGACTAAACTATTCCTTGAGCAAACATGAAAACGCAGCTCAAAGGGCTTAAACAAATAAACAATACATGATCATGAATTCCAAATATCAATAGAGCTTTCCCCTTGCTTTCAGCATTGTTTAATGCAATACAATTCAAAATCATCTTCTCGCGTCTCCGCAAACACATTCACCTTTGACAAATCTGTAATTACACTATGCAAAATCCCCCAATAATCAAAAACTTCATCAACTACTCAACAAGATTTATCAAGTAAAATCAGGGATTATAAGCACTGAAACAGTGCAAAGATTGAAAACCAAATCACAGAAATGAACAAACACATTCCTCCATGAAAAATTCTGTAATTAAACTACAGAAAACCCTTAAAAATCAGTCTTACTCATCAAACCATCTCACAAAATCTCCAGGCAAATCAGGAACTAAATGGACTGAATAAGAGCAAAAGGATTGAAACTCAGTGCACAGAATGAATAACTATGTATATAACTGAGCTTGATAAAATCGCAGTTGGAACAGACAAAACAGGTGTTCAATAATATCAAGAGAGGATCCTCAAAACCCAGAAAGAATAAAATGTAATCATCAATTAATTAACGGCATCACACCTGCGCCTAATCTCCCCTTTCCTGCCAGTCTTAATCCCATATAGACTAAGCTTCTGCATAGCTTTGGCAAAATCCTGAAAGAACTTGTTCTGATCCTTTGCATACAATTCTACGAATGGCCTCGTCCTCGGGTCATTGTACAGGGAGTGATCAGACTCCAAGACCCCTAACCCCTTAGGAAGATTCTGGAAGTATAAATTGTCGAATTTGTTTGGAGTCATAATGTCGTTGAAGACTGACAATGTTGGGTTTTGAGGGTAACCGGAGCAGGCTTGCTGCAATGCCTGTGCGAATCTCGGATTATAATGGGTGTCGTTTCTAATGTTGAAGCTGAACTCTTTGCAGTGGGAGAAACCCACGGTGTGGGCGCCGCTCAGTGCCACCATTTCTTGAATAGTGAAACCTCGTTTAGTGAAAATGTCGATTAATTGGGACATGGGCATTGTGGGTCGAGGGAGATTGCTTTCGGCGAGGGAAGATTTTGAAATCCTGCTGTCTTTCCGGCCAAGGTAGACGGTGTAGTGAGGTCCCCCAAGCATAGTGAGAAGGTCCCGAGTGGCAACCGCGAGGATGTCGGCACAAGAGACGGTGTTGGGACATGCAAACTCAAGAGCGGTCTTGGCTCGTACAATGAGGTCAAAGGCGTCACCGGGTAGGGAGAGGTTGATCTCCGCGTCTCGCTCGGCGGAGTTGGAGGAGGTGGAAGAGAGGAGAACGGAAGCGTCGCAGCCATCATTAAAGCAGTCATGGAAGAAGACGCGGAGAGTACCGGCGGCGGTGGTGGGGCTGGTGATCTGCTTGTTAGTGATGGTGTCTTGCATGATCTGGTTGAATCTGGGGCAGGATTTGACGTAGTAGTCGGCACTCAGCCTAGATTCACAAACCAATGCAGCGAAAGCTAGAATAAGGAGAATGAGGAGCGACGATGACGGCGGAGCAGATGCCATGGCTTTCTTACTCCGCTTGTTGAAGCGGAGCACCGAGAAGGCTTTTAGAAGGAGGAGAGCGTGAGTGGGAGTGGGAGTGGGGGTGGGGGGGCTTCAGTTTTGCGGTTTCTAGTGGAGATGGAGAAGGACACAGCACTAAGCGCCAAACGCGGGATGAGATGAGTAGGGGCTTAACTTAACATCGAGCTTTCATGAGATCTGAACCGTTTATTGCAGGCGTTCCCATTTATGATGTTAAGTAATGAAAACATTACATTAAATCCATGCTATTATATTGCGCTTTCGGCGCGCAACAGTTAGGTAAATTACCACTACTACGCCACAAGTAAGAGAGGGCTGATGTGTCAGATTTTTTTTTTTTTTTGGTTTCCCGCTTGGTATCCTGAGTTTCGCCCGACTACTCCGAAATCGACTAGCTGTGATGCACCAGAATGGTGGATGAGTCTCTCAACAAAAGTTGCTGCGTACAAACTGACAGAGAGACCGTTCTCAATATCTTATTAATTGAACAATCGGTCATGGACGGGCTTGAACCCGTCCAAGAGAGAAATGTATTTTTTTGTGGTAGGGTGTCACTTGATTTGATGGAATGGATGTTAATATTTTATTAAGTTGGCATAACTCTTTTGAAGTTTTTTAATTAATTATTTTTTGAGATTGCTAGTCTTTTAATGTATTTTTTTATAATTTTAATTAATAAAACCTCATATTATTATTATTTATGTGAGTCACGTACTTGTATCAACTTTGTTACTCAATTCTTGTCAACATCTTGTTAGCATAAATATAGTCAATTTAGATTAATCGAAGTGGAAAAATCTCTTTTCTAACATATACATATGTTTTATCTTGATGGGATTTTTTCTATTTTATGAGTTTAAGTAAATTATATTTATATAAATATGACATTGATGAATATAAGGTAATGAAGTAGATACAACTATGTGACTTATATAAAAAGATTTTACTTATTTTAGGTTAATAACAACAGTGACATAAATGTTATAGACTAAAGAGCACAAAATACATGTTAAAAGGTTAATGATCCAAAAAACAAATAGTTAGAGGGCTTTAATGAAAATTAAGCCTTTAAATTGTACAATTTCAGTTTGTATCTCAATACATTTTTTTTTTAATTATAAATTTGTGATTTTGGAAGGAACGAGATAAAAATTTTTGTAAGAAAGAGAACAACAACGGTGTTTTTGGTTATTGTATAACCGTAGGTCACATGAAGGGTGATGCATGGCCGACTACTGTTCAATATCTGGTTGTGGGACTTTGATGGGCCCCACGGAACTTCATAAAAAAACAGCGGTGGATGTGTTGTGTGGGCCGTCTAATTTAAAGATGAATATTTATGTGGTATTTTAATTTTATGATTTTTTTTCTTGTATATTTTCAATTTTGTTTAGCACTGTTT